GAGAGAGAGAGAGAGAGAGAGAGAGAGAGAGAGAGAGAGAGAGAGAGAGAGAGAGAGGGGAAAGAGGACAGTTGGGATGGAAGGGAGCAGGGGCAAAGATGGTTCCCCCTTTTTCCCGTAAGTGGTCTTTCTCTCTCTCGCATTCTGCGCGGGCCTTATGGGGTTTCTCCTGGTGGTGGGCAGTATCTACATATTACAAGCTCGCGGCGCGGCGCGGAGACCACCGTCGTTGACATAAGATCCTGTTATGCTGTCTGCTATCTCTCGGCGCAGTTCGTGTCGCGCCATAAAAAACATTAAAAGTACGAGTAACATAAATTCGTTAAGCGCGGCGGCGGCGGCGGTCGCCTTGCTTCGCGACTCGTTTCTCTCGCGGAGTAGCCGCCCCCCCTTCGCGAGATGAGCCCGATCGCTCCCCCCAATCACCCTCTCTAACGCTGTCACTCTCTGATCAAACTCTCTTTCGCGTCTTTTCTATATTTTCCTTATTTTTATTCTGATTATTGTTTCTATCGATTTTTAAGCCTTGTTCCCATGAATCGTTTTCAAGGTTTCGCGAAAACTCTGCGAAGTTCGTTTTTCCTGACGGTGACCCGTCGTCGTCGAGAGATCTCTTCGAGCACCGCTTGGACGAGCGTTAGACGTAAGAGTCGACTTGGTCCACCCACACGCGAATCCCACACGCCGCTTTTGTGTCCTCGAATCAGGAACACGTGCGCGCTGGCGTTCGCTGTTCGGCGGATATACAGATCGAATGGGTATTCCGATGCCTTTTGTCGTGACATCACGACTTGGAGAACATCGACGGGCACAATTTCGGAATTTCTTCCACGTCTCTCTTCTTGTCTCTCTTTTTCTTCACAAGAAACGGCATCTTTTTGTCCTATTCTGATTCTCTTTGATATATTGTAGAGTATTGAAAAATAAGGTATACGTATTTTCTTTCCATCGGTGGGAAAATATATCTAGGAAATGACCAATCTCGTCAAGTATTACAAACTAAAAAAAAATTTAATGTTTAAAAATTTTGTAAAATTCAGAATTCTGT